ATGTGCGCCCCTCTCTCTCTCTCTCTCTCTCTCTCTCTCTCTCTCTCTCTCTCTCTCTCTCTTCTCTTTTTTCAAGACTTCATCGCTGACGACCTCGGTCAAGTTTGCCCTGCGCTGGCGCACCGAATCCGAAGTTCTAGCCGGCCTCGGCGACTCGACGTGCGGCAACACGCGGTGTCCGCTTTTCCACCCGCTCCCGGACGACGAGCCGAAGCCGCGGCTGAGCACGCTCGAGCTGCCATTCGCCTATCAGGAAGGCGGGGAGGTGAAACAGGCGCTCGTGAAAGTTGTGTTGTGCCCGCGGTGCGTTAAGAAGCTGATGTGGCGGAAGACGAAGGAGAAGGAAAAGCAGAGGAGGGCGGCGGAGCTGGAGGAGAAAGACGAGAGGTCAGGGCATAGTGTGAAGGAAGAGGATGAGGAGGACGGGATCCCGGAGGGCCCGGAACGACCACCACCAGAGGATGCGCGGGATCAGAGCCTCCGTTCGATGGAGCAACAGGAGGAAGGACGTGCGTCTCGACATACGCGAGGTGGACGAGATAACGCGCGACGCCGAAACTCGAGATCACCCCGACGACGGCACGGCTCTCACGAAGGATCCGCTAGAAGACGACGGTCCCGCTCGAAGTGATCGTGAAACGGTCTAATCCTCCTCTATCCCCATCAAACATGCATCGATGTCGTGCATGACAGACCCTGCGTCGCCGGAGATGATGCGCGGGGATACAGCGGGTCGATGTCAGTCCCGTCTGCGATCGCTCTCATGTTAGCCATGCCCAGTACCCACGGTGGACGGATCGCATCCCTGGATGGAACGAAATGTCGCATTGTGTGCAATGAACGACAACGGTTTACATGATGGTATAAAATCCGATAGGATGATGACATCCGTTATATTCATTTGGTGTCGTGTCGGATCGCCGAGTGCTGCCCAGTATCATGTCTCATACCTCTCGTAAGCATCAATAGCAAGTTCTCGATCCGCGCTTGCCGTTCCTACACATCAACCACCTCAGCATCGACGAAGCCTGCCAAAAGAGTGAAGCGCACCTGCAACTCTTTCATCTCCTCCTTCAGCTTATTCACTGGCAAGTCCTTCACGTCCTCAAGCATTGCCTCCAGCCGCCTCGCAGTGTTCTCCAACTGTGCTCCAGCTACAGGCGACATGGGCCTACCCTGCCCTCCACCGGGCACGCCCAAGCTCTCCGAGGTTGTCCGCCCGCTACGCAGCGGCCTGCCCACCCCGAACAGGCGCGAAAGAGGGCTCGGCTGGCCGTCCCTACCCCTCACCTCGGCCGACACGGATGGCGCGATCGGCGGCGGTCGTCTCCGGCGCGGCGATCCAGTCGGGCTGACCGACGCCGCCGCCCTCCGGGGCGATCTCGTCTTGCTCGGGGTCTGTATGCGCGGCGCCGCGGATTGCGTGCTGACCTCCGACCGCATGCGCCTCAGCCGCAGGCTCTCCACGGACGCGATAGACCGCAGCGCGGGCGCCTCGTCCGCCGCACCGTGCTCATCGTCGTCACTGAAGAGCGCGGGGTCGGCGTCAACGTTGAGCTCGAAGATGGCATCGTAGAGGTCGCTCGCGTCCGAGCCCATGATCGCGTCCAGGATGGGAAGGTTCTTAAGCGAGCGCGGTAGCGACTTCGCGATGTCTTCGCTCGCTTTGCGCAGCGCTTGGCCGGAGCGGAGGTACCGCTCGTAAACGCCTATGACGACCAGAGTTGGGAATGACTGTTTGCTATCCTTGAGAATAGATGGGGTACGAATGGCGAGAGAACGTACCGTCAGTTTGATGAGAAAGACGTTCCACGAATGCAATGTTCGCGGCGACATCACGAAGCTTGCCGGCCAGAGAATGATGAATGCAAGCAAATTGAAGGGCGGCTGGTAGCTGAACAAAGCATCTGACTTGACGCCTTCGATTGTAGTGATGGCAAATTGGAACATATACTATCACAGCGTGAGCGCCAACTACTCCGATCATATGATCTCTTTACCTCTTGCTCAGCGTTCTACCGGAAGGAGTCGGTTAGCAGAATGAACAAATGCGTATAGGACGACTCACGGCGTCGATCCTCGCGAACGTGTTAGACAATATAGAAATGAGAACTGAGGGCAACGTCAACAATCCAGCAGACGCAGAACAAGCTCAACGATCGCTCACTCGTAAGCAGGAGTGTGTTGCTCAACGCCGCAAAACCTGTCATGAGGATCGGCCCAAAGAGTGGATGGAACGACGCCGCCTGGGCAAAGCTGAGGTACGTGTTACCGAACCAGATTTGGACCATCAGCCACCTGTCAACGGTCGCAGGTCAGTCGAGTTGGAGCGCAAGACGTGAAAGGTTCTCTCACATGATTCCCTTCATCGACCACCTTTCGGAACCTGCAAATACGACTTATCAGTACACTGTGTATAGAGATACCAGTTGGATGAAACCCAACCGCATCACGTACCAAGTGTCCACAACGTATAGAGCAGGCCCGAGAAGCAGATCGCTGCGATACCCATGAAGAACAGAAATTCGGTCATCATGCCTCGCAGAGCGCTTTCGCGTCATCAGGAGTAGTACTCAAATAGGGTTGAAGTCCAGCAAGAACGCACATAACAACCAGATTATTCTTGATTGCGAAGAATGCAAGCCTGACAGGGGTCGATTAAAATGTTGGTATTGCCGATAGCCGGTTCCAGCTCACCTCGGAAACAGAATGCAAGCTCCGCAAGCAAGTATGTCAAAACTGAGTTCGGATGAAGGTGCTATAGCGTGGGCATGGTCCATTAGCATGCCATTAGAGCCCGCTGTTGGCTGCTGCTCACGATATCCACGAAGTAATCCGTCGAGCCGAAACCCGAAATATGCTAGGAAGATCAAGACAAAACCGGTGTCAAAGACGTTCCACATCTAAGTGTAGTCAGCACTTGACACGCCACCGCCTGTACCGCGCAGGAATACGCACGTTCGCTATGTAAACTGAGAGAAGTGTCAATGCAGAGCACACACGACGGTAAAAGGTGAATTGCACCATTCCATCCGTGTTCCTTGGATGCTGTGTATTCTTCCAGAGCAAACGCGATCGCGATGACGATGAATACTATCTCGGAAATTTGCATATGCTCCATGTTGCGGTCTATGTCGCAGATGGGTCAGCACACACAGAGTAACCTCAAGACACCAGACGGCTCACTGGTGAGGCATAACACGAAAGTAACCAGCAACAACGCAAAATTGAGAAATTCTAGTATAGCCCCATACCGCGGTACCCGCAGCCTTGAACATGGTCAACTGCGAGATATTCCTACATGATCCGGAATTGCTTACCGATAATGATCCAGGAACGGTGCGCTCCTGGAATCATAAATCTCGATCGCGCGGGGTTTATAGTTGTCAGCTAATACCGACTTGTGCGCGGTCATGCTGAACACTACGCGCCCCGTGTAGATATCATTCACGACTGCCTGAACGACCGGACTACTGAGAAAGTTCTTGCTCTTTGTCGCGATGGCCAATTCCAGGGCGCACTCCGGGTCGGCGATGATATCGTGATGTGGGAAGCCATAATCATCCACATGCCCGTTGTCGTTGCTGATGCCAAGGTCCGCTTTGATTTGGGCAAGCACATGTGGTGGAGCACCTTGCAGGGGCGACCAAGAAGTTGTCAGCACTGCAACGAGCTGCACTTGCGAAGTCGAAGAGTAGACGGATGGTGCGAACGTGGCGACGAGCTTGATGGCAAGGATTTCGCAAGCATTGGCCCTGTTTGCGATGTCAAAACTCCGCAGTGTCTTGCGAGGAAGTGCGCATACCGAGACATCATGAGTCCGGTATACGCTATGTCTTCAGACGCCAGCGCGAGAAAGTGCGACCGCACGACCAGGCATGCGTATATAGTGGCGGGATTCTTGAGTTGGGCATATTTGAAGACGAGAGGACGGATGATAGCGAAGTTAATATCCGACGCAGTCAACTGTCTGTGGTCTGCGGGTCAGTCATCGAAGAGATTACCGATGGGACGCGAGACGTACTCCCAGGTCAACGCCGAGTCTATGTTGCTCTATGACGCGTCTCGATACAGTGCAAACAAGCGGGGGTAGAGCAACATACTATGATATCCTTCTTCAGGTGCGGTATCAATGGGAAGACTTTCACTGAGGCCAAGGAGTCCGGTGAAGGATTTAGCAATCCCTGCGTTTGTTCCTCAAGTTCCGAATCCATGCCTTCTTGATGACTGATTCAACGGAAGACGTCGCAAGCGATACAGCGTCAGAAAGAAGTCAGAGTCTCAGGCTAAAGAGCATGTCAAGTCAAGAATTGGATGGAAATGCAAGCCGGAACTTGGAAGTCATCAACCGCGAATTATTCGAGGATGAAATCATCGGTAGCGTCAAAGGCGGTGATGGCCCCTATTTCTGGCCTGTTTTTACGTCGTCCATGGCCGCTGCTAGCGGAGCTGCGTTCAGAGGAGGTTGCACACCTGCTACGACCGGCACCTCACTATCGAACCTCGGATTACACGTGAATTAGCCAGAAAACGCGGTTCGATGCTCGGACTCGCTTGGCCTGATCATGATATGCGGGTGCTACCAACGCCTCGCGACATGTGGACGGGCATCTTTCCTACCTTTGTCTGCTATTTCATTCTTGCAGGACTGGTCCTAGTCCAGAACACCCGACTCGTACGACTCGCTCTTGGCCCAATCGCGTGTGGTCTGACGTACCATGCAGCCACGTCTTATGATCTGGCCAAGGTCAAGGGCCCGGGTTTCGAGTATTGGAACTTCGGTTTGGTGGTACGCGACACATTTATTTGGAATAAAAGTAGCGATGCTAACATCAAATGAAGGTCATCATGATTGCTTTGGCAATGCGGATGTTCGAGTGGTCGCTTCAACGAGAACCTCTTCGCAAGACTTCCGGCCAAGCCAACCACATCGTGCTCGATGCTCTTGACCTCGCCTTCAACACGCGCGGCCTCGGATGGACATGGTCGCGCGGACTTCATGTGCCTCGCCCTATTAAGGCTTCCACTCCGCGATTTCTGCTTCGAACAGTCCTACACGCCGCATGCTACTTCATCACCTTCGACACGTTACACTACTTCGTCCAATCTTTCGGCACCGCCACCTTCGGCTCTCCAGCTGGAGGTACCATCTTCGACGCATCGCTCCCGCCCCTGCGCCGGTACTTGCGCTCGACCTTTCTCACCGTTACAAGCGGCACTGTCATCTACGCAGCCCTCGTTCTGGCGTACGATTTGATCATCCTCATATCATTTTCCATTTGCTCGGTCTCAGGCATTATCGGACTGAGTGGCTACCAAGACCCCGAAGATTGGCCCCCATTATTCCACAAGCCCTACCTCGCGACTTCCCTCGCTGATTTCTGGGGCAAACGCTGGCACCAAGCCTTTCGTCGTTCATTCATCGTCATCGGCGCAGAGCCCTTACGCTCTCTCGCCCTCGCCGTCACGGGTAGCCGGAATGTCGCCCGCGCCGCCGGAGTACTTGGGGCGTTCCTCATTTCGGGTGTATTGCACGACTGGGGAATGTGGGGTATGGGCCGTGGGACAGATCCTTGGCGTGTCATCGGATTCTTCGTCCTCTCTGGCGTGGGCATGATATTGGAGAATGCCTGGGAGAGGCACATCTTGGACGACGGGAAATGGGGGAAGAAACGGCGGCTGAGGGTTGATGGTCTCGGCGGTTGGATATGGACGATTGGCTGGACGATTCTCTGGGGACACATGCTGGTTGAGGCGTGGCTGGTGCGGGGATTACCGGGAAGCGTCTTGATACCCGAGGAACACAGGCCTGGCAGGATGATTGTGGAGTACTTCAGGAGCAACCTAGCCAATTTGCATCTACGGTGACGCCTATTACCTTCTATCTCTATGCAACTTTCTTGAATCCCTTAGCTAGATCCTCCCTTTAGATCAGACCGGCTGCCCTTGGCTGCCATTCGGGTGTACAAATGTCAGCGAATGTAAATTAGGAGAGATGTATCATACAAAGCGATCTAAAGACACAACAAATTTGCAGCAATCCGCACTGTTCGCGTAGAAAGCTTATCGCAAATCAAACTTTCGCTTTATACGGGTCGTACAGAACTTCGTCTTCTTCAGTGTGGTCCATATTAACCATCGGAAGCTCAGATATCACGGTCGTTGGTTCATATGGCATCGAAACCGATTGCCTGTTGTTCCTCGGAATCCGTTTCCGGCTAGATGGACTGCAACGGCAGCAGCACACGATCTGAACCCACGTTAGATGAGTTATCCACGGGATGAACCTGTCGCCAATGAGCGGAATGACGGATATCAATGGTTGGACGACGATGAACAGGGCGAGTATCTACATCAGGCATATTGTTCAGTACGCGCTAATCGAAAGAGATGCACGGAGAAGACTGACCTGCCCAAAGGAGACGTTCCATCCGTCGTTATCTCGAGTGTTCAGGAGCCCGAGTTCGATCTGTACGTGATGCATCAGCTTCTTCACTTCTCCTGCACGAGTTCAAGCTTACGCATCCCATCCAGTAGAGCGATGGAAGTAGGATGACCGACGTGAAATGAATGAACGGATATTGTATGCTGATGTGACGCCTGAAGTCGACACGGGTCAGGCTGAAGCGTACCAATGAAGGGCGAGCCGCGCACCAAACCACGAGGAATCGCAGAGACCACCCATTCTGCCACAAAACCTTCCTCTGAAGAACAAGCACAACAGCCCAAGCCACGACGATCAGTATGACCGGGAGAGCGAGCGCGACGCCTCCCCCAGGCGAAGTCCGAGCAGCATTCACGAAGAGGTACCCAACAGCCCCGTAGAACTTGGATATGATGATGTCGTAAAAAAGCTTGACGCAGCTTGGCTGTGCGAACCGATCGGGGGCAGAGGAATATATGAAGATGACCGTTGCGATCCATATGATCATCGTCAAAAGCACGAGAATGCGGGACAAAAGTTGTCCGCTGTGTTTCCATGGATGACCTGAGTCCGGTTTCTTTGACCATGGACCCAGAGTTTCGGAAAGCCGATTGGGAACACGGAATATAGAGAGGATTGCGTATACCCATAAGTAGAGGGTAACGGGTGAACCGATCATGATGCTTCCACACCGAAAGATCAGCCACTGAAGACAGTCAAGTAGAATGCACCATGTACTCACACAGATAAAACAGCATGGAATTTCGTCAGTTGACGCTTAAACAGAGCTATCGACGTCGCGAATATCTGAAAATGGAAATTGTCGGGAGACAGAATGTGGCTGAGATAGATTGGGCCTCACCAGAGAATATACTGTCAAGATCTGAATTGACTCAGGTTTGCGGTCAAAGACACGATGGTGGAACAACTAACTCACCTGAGCTCCAAATGCATCTCGTATGTCATCAGGCGAGTAAAATATTTGCATCGCTATTGATACGCAGTACGTTCAGCAAACCCCCTCGTTGATTCATCACATGCGGGGACGTTGCTTACCGAGTAGAAGATTGCTCAGATAAGCTGCGATGTGGATCAACTTCTCGCACCAGAACGACGTGAATGATACCACAACTCACCACCGAGGCGCACCAAGGGCCCTACAAAACCCAGCATCAGAGGCGGTTCCGGACTTAATGACGAGAATCAGACTTGCCTGCAATATCGGAATTCGCGCAGAAGCCAAATGGGCACTCGTCATCCACTCTTCACTGGACTTCAGTATGCTTCCTGTAGGTACAGAGGGTAAAGAGACACATCACGCACGGAGGAGCGATGCAGTATGCATCGATGAAAGACGAGTTCTTGCCGTTGCCGGTAAAATTGAGGAAGGACACCATACCAGTCGTGAAGGTACATGCAGCGAAGTCGTTGTCCGGCCATTGGCTGATCTGGTCCCTGAAACATTGCGCGTCATACTCGAAGTTCACCCAGTTGTAGACCGAGTTGTTGAGGCCGATCGAGTTGTTCATGGTTCCGGAGGAGAGCTTTGACTGCAGTTATTCGGCGGCGATGCCTAATGGGGCTGTCGTCGTCGGGGAAGGCGGCAACGCTGTCTGTCAGAAACATACTCCTTTAACTGTCCTGCCGTCGCGACGGCGATGCATCCATGGGCGCCAATTTGTCCTATGCGATCGGGGCTCCCGTGTGCATTGCCATAAGGGGTGCGTGAATCCGACGTGCTCGAAGTCGGTAGGCTAACGCGATCATTGGCGCCTATCAACTCGGTACCTGAAAATTTGAGGCACGCTCACAGCCAACTCACAGCATTGACGAAGCTCTTCTGTGTATGTACCACGTTCAAACCTCTGCTCTTGAGCCACTCGTGCTTTTGTCACAGCCCGCAGCCATGTTGTAATCACTAGTGCGTAGACTGGTGCCTATAGAAGAGTCTTGTTTCACTAGCGCCCCTTCGTGCGACGGGGGGTGATGATGTGGGGCGGGGCCGTGAAACCCGCCGGAGACTTGGTCATCTCCGACTTGTCCGGAGCCACTTGACATGCAAGCATCGACAATCGACGTAACCGCCTAAGCAGGATGCTGCTCGTGAAACTCGAGAGGAGATAAGATGGGCGCGTAAACGTGAGGTACGTGCGTCGTTCTCTGATGAGAAGCGCACACACGTCTCCCCCTTGGGCTGATTATATAAAGAGGGCAGACGCGCGAATTGCGTGTGGCCCTTGTGGTGTGGACGTCGGCCAGTTCTATGCAGTCTACAATATTTCTGTAACCACGTCTACGAGCTTGAACATCACACATCTCCGTAAGACTCGGGCGTTACTTCGCAAGTCTCAAGAACACCAAGAAGAGAATACGTGTACTCAGCACGGACTGTTGGGAAGATAAAGAGGACGAGGGGAGCACGAACAAGGGCGTAACACGAGGACAACAAGAACGTCTGGCGTCCATAGAGGTTTCTCCCCGTCTCCTGTGGTCGATTGGGACGGGAATTGCGGTTTGCTTCGCGACGAGAACTGGTCCATCCGCACATGAACCGTGATGAACGTCAGGGCCTTCGTCTATGACCGGGTCCATTTGGTCGTATTGATACAACTTGCAGACCTGTTTGTGTGGCACTGGCACCGTACACACGCGAGCAACAGTCTATCTCCGTCCGTTTCCGTCGAGACGGGCATTCGCAGTTGGCGAATCGATGCCCGGTCTGCTCCGCCTTCAAGCCCCTCGATTCCACCAGCTCGACGATGGGCACAATACAACGCTGTAAAATGACGGAATTTGGAACACGCGACATCAAGACCGTCGTTGCGGCCATGACTCCCGAGTGCGCTGCATAGCGCGGCCAACGTTTTCCCTGACCTTGTTCGCGTCGGGTGTGTGTCGTAGGACTGCATGTCGATATTGAGTATATCCAGTGTGTCCGTAGGCAGGGAGTGGATATGTAACAATGGCACACGTGTCTGCTGTCGGGGTTTCGTCTTCCACTGCCGAGGGTTCTGCGTGCAAGGTGGGAGCATGCGTCCCTTGTGATACGAGACCTAAGTTCTGGAAATGATTGCTCCGAGGAAAGTGGGTAGGGTTGAATCCCTGGTAACGTTTCGTGTGGCCCAACCAGGTGTCGACGAGCGGGTAGGTCATGAAAAGAACTAATCGCATATATGTACGCTGAGTCCTCCGGATCTAGGTCGAGTCGGAGTCCGGACATCCCTGATACAGTGTTTGTTTCGCTGCAAGATCGAAACGACTTGTTCAAGGCCGTAGCTGCATCGCCTGAGCAATGAAGAAGGAGTGACATGTAATGATAGACTAGCACTACTTAGCGGTGATCTTTGAACATTCTGGGAATTGACAATTGAGAGAAACGTAAGGGACTTCGCCGGGTTGGGCAGAAAGGACGAGTATGCTTCGGAGTTATTCGGACTTTGTCTTCAGGACCTGCCCGAATGGCGGCTTGCGGGCGCCTCCTTCGTAACTTCCTGCATGGCGGAGACTCTGTTGGCCGTTCTGCTTGTTACCTCGTCACCGAACAGCGGCCCGAGTCTAGCGTTCAGATGGCCTCCGCATCCAACGGTCTCTCCGCGCCTCGCGCGTCCGCGTCTGCAGTTGCCGACGTTCTCCGACCTGGACAATCCCTGGAGAGCGATACTGTCGGGAGATTTAGGCGTTGACGGAGTGTTCGCCGAGCCTTACGACCCCAAGGTTAGAGGGATTCAGGAAGAAGATCTCGAAGATTACGAGTGGAAGCGGCCGAACGCGCTGCGTGACCGGTCCCAATCTCATTCCCATTCCGCCTCTGTCCCACCGTCCGGACGGAGCTCCCCACAAAGAGAAGGAAGTTACGACCTCTCAACGAGCGTGTTCGAGGATGCTTTCGAGAATGTAGAAGAATATGACAGTCTCCTAGGCTACTCTGCGGAGTTCCTCGGCAACGTTCTATGTCCGCCGGCGTCCATGTGTCACCAGAAGTTCGAGCTTACCGTAGATGATCTCGCCTTCGTCGGTCACCCCGTCTGCGCGGACGCGGACGGGATTTGGCGTGACAGGTCAGACAGACGAAGAACGGCAGTTCGTGGTCGCGACCCGACTCGCGGACGGCAGACGAGCGGCGGTGAGACAACCACCTCCGAGCATTCTGACACTGCGTCCAGCTCCGAAAAGCACGGGAGGCTGCGAGACCCACGGCTGCACACATTTCACTTCGTGCTCGTGCTAGACCGCCCTGATCCGTCTTCGTCCGCGTCCGGCAACCTCGCCAAGTACATTGACGTGATCTACAACCAACTGGCGTTCACGTTTACTGCGGTGCTTTATCAAGAGCAAATCCGAACGAACTTTGTTCAGGGCGAATGCGATGCATTGGCCCAGATGAAAGACCGGTACACGAAGAATGGTAGGGGAATGAGGATGCTCGGCTTTACATTCGCTGACTCTCCTGATTCCAGGCCGACCATTCTCCGATTTTGTGGCTGAGGCACTAGCGACGTCGTCAATTGCTACGGCCATGAAAGCGCTGTACACTTCTGTCAAGGAGTCGTCTATAGCATACATCGCTATAAACCAGCTCCCGTTCGAATTCCAGCTGCCTCCATACCTGGACGAGATTTTGCGCAACGATGAACATAGCCCTGATATATTGGATTGGATAGAGGACGAGGAAGTCGAGGACAACTGGAACAAGGACATGACCTTTGGCTGGAGGCTCCCAGCTCTTACTCCGTGGAAAAGTTTGCTCCTCCTCGACAATCCGGATAGGCCCGACGTGGACCCTTATGCCAACCTTCGCGAGCCACAGTTGAATGCAGAAGACAGGCAGCTTGCGGAAGGTCTCCTCAAATTCCTGGAGACCGCGTCCATTTACGTGTCGTGAGTAGGAACATCTTCTCTACCGCTGTCTGTCATTGAGGCGAAACCAACAGGTTGGCGGAGATGGCGGATTACCTCGGTTGGGAGCTGGAGTCTCAGCTCTATCCTACCGTGCGCTGGTTGGTCATGCACCGCAGGGCCAAGGTGGTGGATATGGTCCACCCGCAATTACGGACCGTTTTCACCTTGGCTCCGAACCGGGCTCCGTGAGTCTCAACGGTACATCATTGATTTGAGCACGCGCCTGAAATCCTACGCAGGATAGCGGAGCTAGCGTCTGAGTTCAAACGGACTTTCGGCGACCAAGTCCTGTCGTTGCCGGTCATATTGTCGACAATCTCTGCGTCTACATACAAACAGTCCGACAACCATTTCTTCGCCACTGTCGTCCGTGATAAGCATCTCATCCCGCTGTATCAACGGGTCGTCGAATGGATGCTGAAGAAGGATCTGCTCGTCGGTCTACACCTCAGGATCCGCATCGTCGCCACGACAGACTTGAAGATCCGAGTGCGGGACAAGATTTACGAGGCGCGTAGGCGGCGCAACGCGCGGCTGAAGCAGTACGGGATCAGCCGGCGCCGAAGGTCGTCGCAGTACGACGCTCGACGACAGGATTTGGAAGTGATCATTGAGCCGTCCTCGGAGGACATGTACATCTCCATGTCGCCGCACGCCGCCCGCGAGCGCATGCGTCGGGTATCGTCCGTCGGCTCAGCGAAGAGGATCCGGCCCATTGTGCCATTGGACACCAGTGCACTCGACGACGAAGATGAGGACCAAGTCGACTCGGAGGGCGACGATGACGATCAGGAAGACGAGTTCAACATAGACGACATTGAACCGTCCGTGATCAGCGATCCCAGGAAAGCGACGTCCCTACAGCGCAGGTGGCTTTCTGCCATGTCCGATGGCAAGAATCATATCATCGCTCGTCGTTTCGAGGAGTGCGTAGAATCTACGATAAGTATCCACGAGATTTTCACCCTGACCTGGTCTTGATTTCGCAGCATATATGGGTACTTCGATGGCAAGCGAACGGACGACGAGATATTGTTTCGGGCTGACATATCAAGAAAGCAGCTCCGCGAGGTCCTGCACCACTATGACGAATATGTAGGTTGGGTCATTGAACTAGCCTCCTCTATACTGACTTCTATGCTAGCTACAAACGTTCCTACACCCGTCGTAGGTGCGGCTCGCCCGTAAACCAGTCATCAATGGCCCTTCACTCGACCGTAGAGATCAGGAATGCATCCATCCCAACATCAGTTCGGCCTTGTTACAGTCGAAGAAACTCGTATTCTTCGCAAACGCATTGCCCTCCTTTACGGGAACCACCGGCCAGTGCCGTTCCCTCAGCGCGTTGGAATCTTCGTCCGAGGCAGTTGTGGGCGCGACTATGAAGAAGACCTCATGTCTGGCCCATCCTTCCTCCTTAGTGACCGCGAGCAAGAATGCTTGTGCTGCGCTGTCAAGCTGAACCCAACCCCAGAGGTCGTTGACCGATTGGTCTTCATCGCGCCAGCTCGCATCGCTCCGTTGTGGAACGGCCCAACTGAGCCTCAGGCTGGCGATGCGCAGGTTCGGATAGCGACGAACTATGGCATCGGCCTGCATTTCCAGGATCCTTGGCCGGCGGCGTCATCGATGCACAGGAGTATCCCTCTTTTTAATTCCACGACTCACTGCTTTGATAATCCATACCCTTCCTGCGGAATATTAGCATTCGAGACTACCTCAAACGCGAACTACTCACGTCTGGACGGCTCAGATGATTTTCGTCGATCGGGAAATAATCGAATCGCCTCGAGGCATTATAGACAAGTCCTATGGCGTTCACCGAGGAGGCGAGCGCTATGCGTTCAATGCCTAGCTGTATCATCGATGATTGGTCGCTTGCATCTAGATGTCCCTCCCGCTCACTCACCTGCGCCGCTGCCCAGAGCACGTTCCACGAAATGACGACATTGCTGCATTCGCCGCCTCGTTCACCGGAAGCATTGCAATCACAGATCCACGACCTACTTATTGTGTATCCTCGCCGAGTAGTCGCCTGCGCTTGGGAAAGCTGCGAGCTGTATCAATGCGTCACATCCGACTAGGCCATCGTACGTTGCGTCGTAATCTTGAAGATCCGCCTTGATGAATGTGAAGGATGGGTGGGATATGAACGACATATCTCCGGGTGGATCCACGTTATCCAATCCCACCACCTCATGACCCTGGCCTAACGCCAGCTGAGCGACGCATTGACCAATACGCCCAGTGGAACCCGTTATCGCTATCTTCATTGGCCAGTTACTGCACGACTGAAGGAATCAGAAGTAAGAATCCGAGCGGTGCGCCACGGTACCCGGCGCGTGATGTGGCGCTTGCTCGGTGGCGCGGCGCTCCTTGGGGACTCTGGAAGTAGCATTCCGCACTGGAGGTCTGGCACCGCTGTAGACAATAAGACGGGGATGATGGGCGTCGGCGCAGGAACGCAACCGGTGATTCTGTGCCTTGTCGAGGGACGAGACGTCGACGGTGCAACAGGCTACGCCCCAATATCGCTGCGAGCACGTGCCTCGCGTCGTCTCGTCGACCTCCAAGTTCAACATTGTAGCGACCATACCGGATATGGTGTCATCTGCAACTAGCCCTCACAACAAGCTATCAGGTCCTTCGCGACATACCGACGTCACCGCTGTCGTTTTGACCACTGTGCATATAGCGAACGTCGGATGACGGCCCGGGAGTATCTATCCGAGAAATGCCTACTTACATAGATTTTGATTGATTGTGAAGTCCCACCTTGTGAAGTCCCACCAATCAGCCAGGTCCAAGCACTGATCGAGACATACAGTCGATATCCGCACGACAAGGGCTCGCTATCCGACACGATCTCCGAAGATATAATAACTTCGTGAGTACGGTACTACGGAATTGCTTCATTCTTCATCCACTGAACAGGATGGTGTAGATACATGGCCAGGCATCCTTGTGCGGTCATTTCGTACCTCCGCCGAGGCAGATGTGCACTTGACTGAGGCACGGTTATGCACGACGCCACCGCCAGGGACCGGACAGGATCAAGCCTGAACCGTCCGTGCTCGCTGTCAACTACTCCACTAGCAATGATGGAGAATTGCTCGAGGGCCGTGTCTGTATTGGATGCGGTGGACGTCCGACGTGTGCTCCACCGCATGCTTGTCATGTCATTATGAGAAAGCACGCGCCAGTCTGTGCTGGTCCAGCTTTTCGAGTATAAAAAGCGCGGCCAATAGGCTAGAAAGCATCAAGTTCTCGTCGTACTCGATTGCTCGCAAACACCTGTCACCTTAGTGAGTTGCATTGCATGCAGTTGTTCACCAGCTCACGCCGGTCTGGAACAGTTGCAACCGTCAGTGTAGTCACCATGGGATACGGGGACTGGACCGAAATCACGATCCAGAACACCAGCGACGCCGAGCTGCGGTTCAGAAACGCCTCCCTTAATTGGGGCAAGTTCTATAACTGCGAACGCGGCAGTAGGTATCGCCCGTTATCACCTCTGCACAGCAACTAACAAGCCTTTCTTTTATTTTCAGCCAACAAGGACGAAGAGATTGAGCCTGGGTCGCTGGGTGCCAAGGTTATTCCCGCTCACGGCTCCTACACCATCGGAGCGTGCGGACGCGAGAACACCTGGAGCGGGACCGAGGGTCAGTTCGATCTCTACGCTCCTGGCACCGGTCAGCTCGCAGCCACGGTCAAGTTCTACTCGCCTCACGGCTCCTCGTACAATTCAGTCAACATTGATTGCCCCAACAAGGAATGGTCTGCGGGCCAGAACGGCGCTTACCTGGGAAACGACAAGCCCCTAGGCGCTTTCACCGTGACCGTCGCACACGCTGCCTGAAGTGCATGGGGTTCGCAATCGTTCCTTCAACGATGTATTTTTGTTTCAGGTTGCGGTCCACGAGTGCTCGTGGATTGGAAGCCTTGTCATCACTTGTCCCACGTGTTTCCATCGCGGCAATTATGGGTTCAGTAGGGCGCAAGGGCGTTTTGTATGCGTTGTTCGAATTATAACTGTTGGCGATATGGACGAGAGACCGCGTCTCTGACTGCTAAGCTCGATTGTCAAAGCCAGCCATTGATATATATGCAGTGAAAAATAAATATAATAACTACAACGTGGAGTTACACTGGGATGCGATGCAAGCCATCCGCGGCCTCATCGAATATCGATGACATGAACGATACCGTCATAGGAAACGTTTGAAGGAGTTGCGAACTGTGGCTTGGATTCCATATCTCCCGAAATTGTCTCTAGTCCAGGAAAGTGCATAACAGAGCCCCTGAGATGCAGCACCAATCGCGTCGACGCTATGGCGTAGGTGCTCATGACCCATCTGTCATGAGTAAGTTGAGCGATTGCCGGTTAGCAATGTTGATCCTGTACTTACGGTTGATACATCACCGAAAGCTGTCTTCCATTGAAGTAGACAGTGAAGAAGATTACCAGGGATTCGACAACTAAGAAGGAATAGGTTGGGATATTCTCGTCTTGGTGAAAGGGGCGTACATACCGAGCACCCTGTTGAGGCTACGATAAGGGCAAGGATATGTGTCAGATGTGAGGGCTTACATGAAGAAATATGCTGATCCATCCCGGAAGAAGACATAAAGGGTCGGTGCAAGGCGTCGTGACACCCCGAACCCGACTTTGTATGTCGACCCGGCCGTATTCGTCCGCGCATGGGTGAGTGCAGACTTATACATCATAAGCATAAAGAACACAGCTAGACAGACCAGCCATCAGCTCGCGCTATCGTACGCGGGAGAAGCAGCAATACTTACATGCCACAAGCAAGGGAACGGCGCTATAACCAGTCAGGTCAGAATTGAAGTTTCAGGAGTGGGATGTAGATCTTACCCTGCAATGACGATAGGGACGAATGAGGGCTGGCTGGAAAGACATCCAGGAAGAGGAATTCCCTTCGGAACCACTGGCAATTTGATGGACGAGATGGTTGTGATCACAGCCCAGAGTGTCGTCTGACGTCTATGAGCGACAGCTGAAGGGATACATTCGAGCACGTACCGCTACTTCAGCTATGATAGACGGTTGTGGTGTTAGCATCGATTCAAAGTGGTTCCGGGTAGAGACTGACCACAGTACAGAAGGACAAGTAACGCCAGTACTACATCCAAGGATCAGACCGCGGTAGCGCGTTCTCTGACTGAACACGTACTTGTACGGCTCCTATAGTATAGCGCGTAGAGTCGCATAGCCATGAGAGCCTCTATCCCAGAGTGTCAGAGTAGAACATCGAAATGTATTCTACCAACGAAGCCCTTACCACCGATGAGCGTTGGCAGGAGGCTCGTGTTTCTAGGGAGCGTCAAGTCAGCCCCTGCAGAGAGGGAAAAAAGAGCATATAGCATACGCGGCATCGAACTATAAACAGGGTACCAGGATTATCATAAATACCTTGAGCAAGAAGGCGCCCACATACCCAGAAGTAAAAATGACAAAATCTAGGCTAATCATGATGTCAGCATGACGACAACCACAGCATAATGCTTGTAGAGGACGTACATGGTACTTGATTGTCGTACTGGAGTTGACTGGGACCAGCTCAGCGTCTTTCTCGGTCATAGCCTGAAGTAATTTCTCACCGTAGAAGTAGATACTGTCGTCACAAATGATATCAGCGTGGCGGGACGTCATCCTACTGAGGAGAGAACTCACGCAAGCGAAGCAATAGAGTAGTAGCGCATAACGAGGTACAACACTTTTTGCAAGCTCATCCGGGACCTCCGCTCTATCCGTGAACATGGTCCGACCATGGACCCACGAACGAAGATTACTCACTTCCACACCAACTCGATCTGGTGCGAAATGAGTGCATTGCACGCAAGTAAACATCTCAAAGACGCACTTCATCCGTGAACGTTAATATCGTGTCATAAGCTAACCAAGCCAACGCCCCCGCTACGAACGGCCCCGGTTCCCTTATCAGCCTTGCTATATTGCTGCGATTCTCATCCCCTAACTCGCACCTGTAGCGAGATTCACCACGAACGCATCGCCGATGGCTCGCTCGAGCTCAGCCAGCTGAGCGCCCAATGAGGACATGAGTCAAAACAAAGCAGGCGCTGGTCCCAGGGAAAGAAAGTGGAAAGGAGGGGCGAACCTGCGTTCACGCACGGAGGCTCTCATTGATAGCGTCGTTATATGCGAAGATGTTCCATTATCGGTGTGTAGCATCCCACCGAACTGGGCGGGGTTCGGAATGGATTAAGTCCCTGGCGACGAGACGTCCGAGAAGCCGGAGACAGAAACCTCGCGCCATTGCAACAGGGTGAGAAGAACAGATGGACCGTGTCAGAGATTCCCCGCATAGAGGAGATGCGCCGATTGACGCGTCTTTCATTTTGGCGTCGACGAGCGTCGAGCGCCAGAACCACAAAGACCGATACAGCGGAGACGGCAGGTTTGATAGGAAGCACACAGGAGCACTGTCGCAGCAGTATGTAGCGAAGTCTTGCATATGCATCTTCAATCAGACCGGATAGAATGCGGGTTGCGAGGATATAAGTATACTGCCGAAGATCAACAACCTGTCGTGGCGTTCAATGGCAACGTTGAACGCGGTGCGGTCGCCGAGCGATACATAAACGCAGGCTAAGATGGTGGCTATCCCGATCATCGTCAGGCTCGCCGCTCAGCTCACTCAAAACGTACATCCTTGGCGCATAGATATTCCAGGTACAGTTGATAGTATCTTCGCATGTAGAAATACAAGATTGCGGCACGAGAGTAAGTGCCGATACTGGTACACAACATCGCTTCACCAGTGTTGATTCATGATGGTCGTCGTTCACCCAGCGAACGACCTTTTGATTTCAGGCAGGGTCGACAAGCGCCTACCACCAATCGCCCTGCACGCGCATGGCATCGGCGACCTTGATGAACCCGCCGACGTTAGCGCCCACGAGCAAGCTCGGGAGCACGTCGGCCTTGCGCTCGCCAGACCACTTCGAGCCCGCGTCGAGGCAGATCTCGTAGCAATCCGCCATAATCTTCTTCAGCTTCGCGTCGACCTCGGCCTGCGTCCAGTTCAGCCGTTGGCTGTTCTGGGCCATCTCCAACCCGGATACGGCGACGCCTCCGCAGTTGGACGCCTTGCCCGGCGCGTACCACACCGCGTTCGGCCCGCCCGCCAGACGCGACTTTTCGAAGACCTCGATCGCCTCCGGGGTGCAGCCCATGTTGGAGCCCTCGGCGACAATACGCACGCCGGCCTTGATGAGCGCATCTGCCTCCTCGCCAGACACCTCGTTTTGCGTGGCGGACGGGAGCGCGATGTGCACCTTGGGCAGGAGCGTCCACGGGCGCTTGCCGGCATGGTACTCGAACTTGGACCCGAACTCGGACGCGATCGACTCGAGGCTGCCGCCACGAAGCTTGAGTTCGGCGATCTTCTCCACGTGCTCCTTGGTGAAGCCCTCACCGCGGACGGTGCTCTTGGCGATCAAAGTGCCCTTCGAGTCCGATAGCGAGAGAGGGGTCGCACCGAGCTCGAGAACTTTGAGCGCGGTGTATTGCGCGACGTTGCCCGAGCCGGAGATGGCGACAAGCGTCTCGGACTTGTTCAGGCTGTACTCCGGACACGCCTTGGCGATCATGTGCTCGACATAGTAGCTATATATAGCGGTTAACGAGGGTATAGAAGAAGACATGGCATGATGACGCACATAAGACCGTAGCCAGTAGCCTCAGGGCGGATATGGCTACCTCCCCAGGTGAGACCCTTGCCGGTGAGTACACCGACGAACTCGTTTCGGAGCTTCTTGTACGCGCCGAACATGTACGCAACCTCGCGTGCGCCGGTACCAATATCGCCGGCAGGAACGTCGGTGTCGGCGCCGATGTGGCGTTGGAGCTCGCTCATGAAAGCGTAGCAGAAGCGGCGAATCTCGTTGTCGGACTTGCCCTTGGGGTCGAAGTCGGAGCCACCCTTACCACCGCCCATGCTGAGACCCTACGAACGGTGTAAGGGATCGTATAACGAAGTAGGCGAGATTGACGTACAGTAAGGGCATTTTTGAAGATCTGCTCAAAGCCTAGGAACTTGAGGATGGAGAGGTTGACGGAGGGGTGCAGACGGAGACCGCCCTTGTACGGACCCAGAGCAGAGTTGAACTACGTATGACGTACATAGTCAGCAATGTACGCGACGGACGACAGAAGGTAAAGCGCACCTGAACGCGGTAACCGCGGTTGACCTGGGTCCTGCCCTGGTCGTCCTCCCAAACAACACGGAACTGGATGACACGCTCAGGGACCTGAACGACCTCGAAGGCCTTTTTGTAGGACGGGTTGGCGGCCAAGAACTCCTTGATGGACTCGGAAAGCTCGCCAAGAGCCTGGACGAGGCTTATCAGATAAGGTTCAGAACATGACCGTGCGGCACACACCTGCTCGAACTCGGGCTCAGAAGGGAGGACCATGGCGAATGTCAGAGATGCGAAAGGGCGGGTAGATCGAGTTGGGGTAAGCTGACGGGAGGAGTTGGGCGCTGGGGTATTAGTCGTAAATTTGCGGCCTTATGTATAGCAGAGATAGCAGCTCCTCCGTTGGCGCATCGCCGCTTGAATGTTTTCAGGTCGGCCGAGTGGCGAGGTGAGTCGGAAGTTTGCGGATGCGCTTCGCTCGCTCGCGACCATGACGGGCACGCAGGAAGCCCGACCGATCCATGCGCTCGAAGTCTCCCCTGTCAGAGATTCTTCCGGTGACACAGGAGACGTCGGCCGGCGGGCGCCGCTCACCCAATCAGAGAGCGGCGCAACGCACCGCCACTGGCGCGTCGGGATGAGGCGGCTGGCGGAGGCAAATGCGCCGGCGACGATGACAATCTATGCGACGACGCTCGCTGCAGTTCTCTTCATTTCGAGTGCTTCAAATTGTGGTCTCTTTCGAGCAACTGCCCGTACCGGACGCAAGACCGGGCAGGTCCCCTAAACAAGGCGATCGGCCGAGCGGCGGATCGATTGCAGCGTTTATGCCGATTTTCAAGTCGGCTCCTGTAAGTAAGGGACGGTACCGGTCTACACACTCTCTCAGGAGCTCCATGGCCTCCGAGTCTACCCCTTGCCCTGTAGCATTTACGTTCAGCGCCACCATCATACGAGTCATGTTGAGTTTGACGTCGCAGAGAAGCCAATCTTCCGAGGAGCACCGATAGCACCGACGTTCCTGGGTTCTGGGGAATTTTCAACGTGCTTTGCGGAACTTGGTTCGGGAGACGTGCTGCTGAGAAAGTTCCGCATCTTGGATGAGGCTGCCATAGTAGGTCAGATGTTCAAGGCACTGGCTTTAACCATGGGAGACGTCGGCGTGAGGGAGAGGCGTTCGCGCCCGAGCTCCGTAGGTAAAGCACGGAAAGATGGCGTCAGAGTTGCCTACTGCTGGATTTCTCCTAGTCTTGTGGATGCACTAGAAGCACAGGTGCGAAGGATCTGAGATACAGATCGCGAGAGTGCCTTTGGAGTTGGTCGGACATCGGGTATTGCAGCGTATGGCGACGTCAACATTTGAGCAACGTCACGGACAATGCCGATGAGGTGCACGTGTACCTACCGTGTACTGACGCGTCAGTGTCTCAGAGTCACTGGCATGAGCTTCACAACTTGGATTCGATTCGAAAGTACCTCGTGAGGCAAGATTGTATCAGTCGCCTTTGTTCCCGCCTACTTACAAGGAGTGGCCGCAATTCGAATACATCACCGAATCCATTAACCCCAGGGTTCATATCCGCAAACGACGAATCTGGAGCCGTGCCCTGAGATAGGATACCGATGAACGTCGAACACGAAATATAAGTGTCAACCTCAATGTCATCGCACGCATCATCTTCGATACAGGCTATCGAACCTCGGATCCCGTTCACCCGCAGCTAATGCGTAAAGGAGGATCCTCCCCATGCTAACAATCAACCAGCGTGGAAGGGTTTGACTATGAATGGAAGCTGAGTCTGTTTCTCCTGGTCCGCTGTAGCGACCATGGGCTTTGTCACTAGTTGGGCATAGACCTTCATGATATCTTCGCGCGGAACGGCAAGCTCAAACTCGAAGGCGCGGAGGAGAGCGAACAGCAGCGCCTTCATCCTGAAGCGTTCATCGTAAAGCGCATCAGCGAAGCACGCGGCATGACGCAGTAATAACAAAAACTCACTCAATGAGCGAGAATCGGTATCCGATGCAGTGATGAGGGCCGGCTAGAGAGCATGGTGTGTTCAGACACGCAAAAATACGGATAGAAGGGCATACGAACCGAGGAAAGTCATCAGATTGCTCCATATACCAGGTACAGCACTAGCCTTGTCCGGAACGCACCCCCACCTTTCCGGTCTGGAAAGCACCTCCGTCAGCAAGATCTCTCACCGGTAAAAGCCGTTTTACTAACCGGAACTCTTTCGCATCCGCTCCCCAGATGCTAGTGGACGTGTTCATCGCTATGATAGGGACGAATATCGTATCCCCTGTCTGAACGCTGGATGGCGTAGTAAGGAACTGTCGTGGCCTTGAAGCTCCAACCTGGCTTACCGGACTTCAGAGCAGATACGCCCTCGCGTGTCAACGTAGGGCTTCTCCAGCGGGATGACATCGTCCTTCCGCGCTACGCGGAGGACCGAGGGCACGGGCCCTAGGACCCTGAGCGACTCTCTGATGACAGAATCGAAGAAGGCTTTATCCAATTTCAGCTCGGGTGACGTCTAGAGATAATAAACAGGTGCTCACGCAGCGAACTCAGTTGGTCCATGGAAGGCGAGTCGGTATCAATGCTCAAAAGCTCTTCGCGAAGCTTCTTCTGGATGTCCGGGTGACATGCCAGAAGATATAAACACCACGATGTGCTATTGCTGTAAAGTCGTGAACACCACAAGAAAGGCGCAAATCAATAACACGGGATTACGCAGTAGTGTCGTGTCCGGCACCTTCAAGTTGTGAGATGCATGGGTTCAGCTGGTGAATTTCACTTCCTAAGAAACGACTTCACCTAGGAAAGTAGGAATTTCTGAAGCTGGTAGTCAGCGGTGATCGCTATGCAGATCGTGGACGACTTACGTCCAAGTACCTCCTCTTCTGACATTCTCTGGCTCTCCGGAATGTCGCTGGCCATGTTGGCTTTGATGAGCAGGCTGAGCAGGTCGCGGGTCTGAATCGCCTCCTTCCCGATGGCTGCGTCGTTCTTCTCACGAAGGAGCGCTTCTCGCTGTTCACGAACAAGTTTGAGGCTAAGCCTATCCATCGTGGCTTTGGCTCGGCGCATCAGCCGCAGGCTTTTGGAGGGCTGATGTGCGCATCTCAACAGAAGGTTCGATCTTACTGCAATCAACATACGATAAAGCGCGTCGCAGGGATGAATGACTGTAGGAGTAGCCCCCAGGAGAACTTCTGGGTTGACTCGAACACCGTCGTGAACGCGACATCTGCAGATCGCATTCTCAGTAAACACTGAAATCTCATAAAATGTTTGCACCGCATACTGAGCTCATTTGGACCTTTGCTGAGGTCGAGGGCGTCGAAGTCATAGTTGAATCCTGGCAACAACTTTTAAGATGGCGACAAGGGGGTGATTGGAAGAGATCGCTCACGTACCGGCAGCACCGATGATATCGAGGGTCGCTTTGCTCATCCAGTCTAACACGTCCACGCGCGCCCCGCTCTCGTGCCCGGCGATTTGGTGAGAAATACCGTCACGAAGCTAGTGTCGGCAGCCCATTACCATCGTAAGTACAAAGTATCTGTGAGCGACACAGAGTTACCACTCACTTGCGTGGCCTTCTGCACGAAGATCTCTGTTAGATCCCGTATCTGAGCAGGTCCGAAAGCTGCATTCTTTGGAAGGAGTTAGTCCAGCGACGTCTTGGAGTCAAAGGCACCAACCAGGATTCTACGCTAGACATAACGGTCCTAAGCATATCCTCCAGTGCACGTGAAACGGACTCAACCTACCTGCCGCCGATGTTGTTCCCCTTCTGTCAAAAGGACACCTATAGCCCAACATAATTCGTAGTCATTCGGTATGGTCTGCCGTCACGCTACTTACCTACTCCGAGGAGATCCTGGACCACGAAGATGATTTCCGGCGACTTAACGTAGTCGTCCGCCGCGGTGTTCAGTACGTATTGAATAGCACGGGTGTCCAAGATCAGCAGCTGATCGCTCTGGGAAGTGGATTGTCAGTGGCGTACGTCGAAAGGTCGATATATCGCGGTACGCTCACGTTCAAGAAATTCTTGAACTTGAGCACGTGTCCGTATTTCGCAATCCATTCCTCGATGATGGACTCCTTCCGCGGTTCCCAAAACGCATCTGCATGTCCCTTGAGGAGGGAGCCGCCGGGAGGTCCCGGTATGTAGCGCAGCGGAGAGAACAGAGGACGGACTAGAATGCGCAAGAGGCTAAATCCGAGAAAGCCAGAGGCCGCGGCAATGCCTGCCAGTGCGACGTTGGTAGGGGTAACACTGATGACCATGGGATCCGTTTGCTATGCGGGTCAGCTCGTAGGATGTGCGTTCAATGCTTCGAAGTGCTCAGCATTTATAACCTAGGGACTCCCCATGGCGTGCTACTCTTCTATGGCACGCCGCAAGAGAGTCGCCATGCCGAGTCCAATAGCATCGTCTTCGTCTGTGAACGATGGCTGCATTTCACGCGCTTGGCAGATTGCGGGAGTCTTTGGGCCAGAGAAAGAAGAAAGGATACAACTTCAAGCACCGACTGCTTCAACTCAACGGGTGTCGGACCGGGATCTGAGACCGGTGCGGAGTTCATGAGCGGACTGTACGACTGCCCATAAGTATTCGATGGTCTCAACAACTTGGAAGGCTACACGAACGAAGATCGATTAAAGCAGAGCTATTGGTGTCGGCTCGCGAAGAACAAAGGCACCGCACATTAAAGGATGTTCTATATATGATGAGTCAACACCTCCTTCATGAACATTATACGTCCGCGCAGTCACAGGCAATATCGTAATACACCCCTCACCATCACAACTTCTCGAGCTGAACGCGAATCAAGCTGCGCGTGCCTCCCTCTCCACAGCGCAGATCTCTTGCACACCCTCCCTGAAGCAGACCACGTTGTACTCCACCAGGCCGCGCTTTTTCTCGTACACGCTTGTTGGTAGAACGGCCAAAAGAGCAAGTTGCGGCGTGATGAGATGGTAGGTGATCGTCGTGGTGGGTAATAGCGATGTGGAAGCAGATGGCCAGAACGCTTCTGCGTCAGGATCCGGACTTTCATGGCTTCCAAGCGGGGCGTTTGGTTCGTTCTGAGCACTGGACGATGGCGAGGCGGATGTGGACGTCTTTGGGGTGGAGCCCCCGGACGTGGTGGAGGTCAGGGTTGCCGACGTTGTAGAGGGAGATTGAACGACCGAAGACTCAGGTGCGGGCTCCGGCAAAGCGCTAGCTGACGTGGACGTCGCTTGACACCTTGCTGGGCTGCGCTTGGCAGACCTAGAATCGTCATCAGGTCGGTGGAACGCGACTGCCAGGTTGTCGACGTACTTATAGAGTGGCCCGAACGAGGTCAGCATTTTGAGGTAGTCGCAGCATAGATTGTAGGTCGCGGCGTCCACTGGAGAGGCATCCGTGGCAACGTATATTCGGGACTCGATATCGAAGAGAAACGCTTTCGACGATTGCGAGTTCTGATTGTACTATCAGTCATCTCAGCGCGCGTGAATGACGAGAACAACACACTGTTACGAAAACGTTCAGTAGATCTTCCAGATAGGGCAAGCTCTCCACAAGCTTGTTCTGCAAGACGCGGGAGAACGCTTCGTGGAGGCTGTGGTCATATACGCTCGTCAAGTGGAAGTTGACGGGTATCTGAGCGTAGTCTTCGGATTCGTCCAAGAGCTCGTCCAGGGTCCTTTGCTGGATCTGACGAAAGTTTTCGATCTTGTAATCATCCGAGAGCGGTTCTGTCTTGTGCACGAAGACTTCGAGGTTCAGGGCGGGATTATGTTCGCTGGCCTTGATGATGAAGTCTATGAGACGGGATATCGGAGCTTGGTAGAGGTCCTGAAAGGCAAGGGTGAGTTATGTTACCCGTGTGGCGCCTAGAGCACGGACCTGTATGTCAATGACGAAGATCAGAGCGGCGAACTGTGTTAGGTCGACGGTGCTAGGTTCTATGGTGCCTGGGCAGTCCCATATCTCCAGAGGAATGATGGTGCTAGCTTCGGCCGGGTGAGCTCAATGCCCTTCATTCTACTTTGCGGGACAGGTCGTTCACGCACTCGTACTTGTGCCGCGTTATCCTCTGGGTAGGCTCGACGTAGAAGGCCTGCTTGGGAGCCATCTTGTGGAATAGAACCTGTTGAATAGAGGTCTTGCCGCTTCTGCACCAAGGAGTGACACGGTGAACCAATGGGAACGGGAAGATCTGGGCACACGACCAGGGCCGCGCTGGAGACGGGTCGCCGCACTCACCTCCGTAGGCCAGCCAGGAGGATACGCGTTCTGCGTACGTCGTCGGCAGCGTCGGGGTCGGCGCCGGGCGCAGCAGCAGCAGCCGACACGGTCGCCATGGTCGTCGCAGTTGTCGGTGCAGAGGGCGTCGGGAGCTGCCGCGCTTGAACGGGCGTGACGTCACGCGGCCCATGGTCGGAGAGATAACCGACGAACGTTCGTCCCGGTGAGGGTTCGCGAATCACGCAGAGACGCGAACAGGATGCTCACACTGCAGGCATAAACAGGCCTGGCCTCCAGGTGACTGCGAGACCACTGCTCGCTCTGATACACCGTTTCCTGAATCCTACCTACCTCCTCGACCGCCTTTTCCTCCGCCCCCGATGAAGTTTGGCAGGAAAATAAAGGCCGACCTCTACGCGGAATGGCGTCCGTTCTACCTCGACTACAACCTGCTCAAACGCGAGCTCAAGGCGAGTCTCGCACGTTTGCCATGGAATGTTTCGAAGGAGCTATAACCGGTCTCTCGTTTGCCTGATCAGGACCGGACGACCGAGCACGGGTGGACAGAAGATGATGAGCGGGAGTTCACCGCCATGCTCGAGCGGGAGCTGGACAAGATCCACGATTTTCAGAAGGAGAAGGTGCATTGTCTAATCCCCTTCTAGCCTTCACATCTGTGTCCGGGCGTTCACAACGCAAATTGTTGGGTGACCGGCACGAATCTCATATGCTCGCCCACTATAGACCTCGGAACTGTCGCGACGCATACGCGATGCTGAGAAGGACGTCAAGCGGCTCGTTGCTGAAGACTACTCCTCCGATAGCCCCGACCAAACCGCCCAGCAATCCGTTCCGCCCGCCGCCGGGCCGCAGTCGACGGTCGCTGCTCGGCACCTTGAACAACCGTCCGACGCGGGCCAGTCAGGCGCTACCGTAGATACGGAAGCGCAACAACAGTCAGAACCGGGGCTGCACCAGGACGCTGGCTCGGACGACGAAGATACGACGGATGATGAGAACGCGGATGATATCGTTTCAGTCGACGCTCTCGAAGACCAGTTCCATATCCTGGAAGAGGAGGTGGCGACTCTGGTCGCAGACGTCCACGACCTCGCTCTGTATACGAAACTGAACATCACGGGCTTCATGAAGATCTTGAAGGTATTTGGAATCCTATGTCATGAAAAGACACCGCTGACCGTTATGACTTGACAGAAACATGATGCAAGTAACCGTCCAACGAGATATATGCGCATATCATTTGGACTAACTATTGCGATGGCAACAGAAACAAACTAAAATGCCGCTCAAATCTACTTTCATTCAAGAGTACCTGGAAAAGCGCCCTTTCTACAAGTACAACTGGGACCGACTCATCGTAAAGCTCTCTAAGCTGTACGACCTCGTGCGGACTCGTGGACATCCGGTAGTAGGGGACTCGAGCGCAGGCGGTAGCCAGAGTGCATTCGTGAGGCAAACGACGAAATACTGGGTGCGTGTCATCGCCATTGCGCGTCGAGCATGCAACGGGCGACCTAATGACCGTCTCGTTGACGTCATCAGGTCCATCCAGACAACCTTGTACATTTGAAACTCGCGATTCTGCGGCATCTGCCGGTCTTGGGTACGTTTCAGGCAAGCCGAATGAAATGCCGTAGTTGATAATCAAATGGCGCAGTATTCAATACTGAGAAGGAGTTCGAACCCAAGGATGCAGGTTCGTACTGGCATTACCTCTTGCTGCTTACCTCCATACCTACCGCATATATGCAGCCATCACATCCATATACTTCGACAACGAAGAACTAGAGCTTTATCTCGGTCGGTTAGAGAAGACGGAGGGTGCAGAGGCGATACGGCTCCGATGGTACGGCGACGTCGACACGCAGACGATTTTCGTGGAGCGCAAGACACATCGCGAAGATTGGACAGGCGAGAAGTCTGTCAAAGCGCGTTTCCCCATCAAGGAGAACAAGGTTGGCGGTACGAAGGCATGGAAACACCCGGTGTGATGCTGATGTCGCCCTGGTACTATTAGGTCAACGCATTCTTGAGGGGGGAGTATACGGTGGACGCGGACTTTCAGGAACTCGTGACCAAGGGAAAGAAAACCCAGCAGGAGGTGGACTCGATGATCCAGTTGGCAAATGAAGTGCAATACGCTATTCTGACGCGCAAGCTCCAGCCGGGTGCGCTAAGTTTCGTTCATTCACCCAGTAAAATTTTTAATCAGGCTCGGTGCCACAGTAATGCGCACGTTCTACAATCGCACGGCGTTCCAATTACCGGGCGACGCCAGGGTACGAATCTCGCTAGATACCGAGCTTACGATGATCAGGGAAGACAACTGGGACGGCCGAACGAGGTCAGGAAACAACTGGCGTCGAACGGACATCGGCATCGATCATCCGTTTGACCAGGTGGCGCCAGAGGACAAGGAGCTATTCAAGTAGGTTGCTCCTGACGCACCTTCTAACACACAGACTGATGAGTGCACAGGTACGGCGTGCTGGAGGTCAAGTTGCAGACGCAGTACGGGCAGGAGCCCCCTCAGTGGGTCCTTGAACTCGTCAACTCGCACTTAGTGGAAGCAGTACCCAAGTTCAGGTATGTTCCTTTGGTTTCGATCCTGCATCACGGTAATGAATCGTCTTCCCCACAGCAAATTCATCCACGGCTGTGCCACACTGCTACCACACAGAGTAGATCTGGTTCCGTTCTGGCTTCCTCAAAGTAAGACGTGCTGATGTCCTGGGGGTTCGTGCGCATATACTGACCTGCACCCGCTCAGTGGACACGGACATTCTGAAACCCGATACTGGCGCGCTATCTATTTCCCGACCAGCAGTGACATCATCCCAAGGCAGCTCTGAGCCCACGCTTGGTACCAATACGCCGAACAGGGAGGCTAAGCTGCCTGCCTACACGGAACCCGTGTCAGAAGGTGAAGAGGACGAGGAGATAGACATCGCCCCAGCCGACGACCACGACACCCATAAGCGCACCGGGCTCACAAGTGCGGAAGTGGCCGCTGCTGCGTCCTTCCGCGAGCACCATCTGATGCAAGAGCGGGCCGAGGAACGGGAGAGGCGGGCCAAGCAGGAAGGCGCGAAGGCGAAGGATTATGCGCCGGAGGAGGCCGTTGAAGAGGAGGATGCGGACGATGAAGCGGACGACGAAAGGACGCCGTTCTTGAAGTCAGTGCGGAGAAAGAGCCAGGGTGCAGCAGCGATTCAGATCGGTCAGAACGGCGCTGCGGAGGATCTTAGGCCGAGAGGGTTCAGCATCGACCCGCTTGCGCCATCCTCAGCCTTTGATCAGACATTGAGGGATAGACTACAGAAAGAGCAGAAGAGCGGTGCACGTGACGACGAGGATGAGGACGAGGACGAAGCGGAGAGTGCATCGAGGCCCGCGGTAACTGGTGACGACCGAGTTCTTGAGAGGGGCTTTACGGCTCCAACCGGAAAGAAGATCGCCGTGCCGGTGCGAATCGAACCAAAGGTTTACTTCGCGTCCGAGCGGACTTTCCTGGTGAGTCCCTTCTCATGTCGGGTTATAGGGACAGTCTTACAACACCCCCTCCCCCAGAAATGGCTCAATTTTGCTGTTCTGATCGGGACGATTGCAACAACGCTCCTTAATTTTATTCCTCCGGACGATCAGGCGGGTTTGATCAGCGCCGGGCTGTTCACACTCGCCGCTTTGCTTGCCATCGCATACTCGGCTGTAGTCTTTGTCTACCGCTCCATCAAACTACGACGGCGAGAAGCTGACGGCTTGTACTACGACAAGTATGGCCCGACGATCTTGTGCTTTGTTCTGTTGGCGGCGCTGGCGACGAACGTTGGCTTGAGGGTAGCTCAGATGTGATCACTTACACGGACTGGAATGCACTCCTTTCATTTCTCATGCTCTTAATCGGGTTTACTCCGTACTCAACGACTCAGTTCAATAATTATGCACCTGTTGATTAGTGGTACATTACGCAGACGGCGGTCCAT